TGCACCTCAGTTTAATCATCCATGAAATGAAGATGATTGTGCTTCCGCCCTTTTAGGGGTATATTGAGTACTGGCTAATCCTTGCAAGATGCTTGGAATGCCTGACACATAGTAACAACTCATTAAATGCTAACCATGGTGTTTTTTTTTTTTTTTTTTTTTTAATTATTTGCTCATAGAAAGCTTCCTAAGACAGTGCCCCTCATTTTTCTGGGCCATTTGTTATCCAGTGTTGTGATTTCTTGAGCAGCCATGGAAGTTGGATCCATGCTTTTATCTCAGTTTTTTCCCACGTTGCATTGCATCTGGTCTGGCTTGTTTCTGGGCCTCAGGGTCTCCTCCTGCAGACAGGCAGATTGAAACCATCACCCCCCAAGAGGCTTTCCCCATAGTGTAAATGCCTCACTCTGCTTGGGATATTCAATAAATTTGTGGGGTTTTTTTGTGGATAATTAAAGGACTAGTGTGTTCTAGATAATAAGACTTTTTTAAAAAATAGTAGTAAATGTTTCAAAAGAATTAGGGGCAGGCATTTGACATGACAGTTAAGACACCTCTTGGAATGTCTACATCCCATATCAGAGTGCCTGGGTTCTAGTCCTCGGTCTGCTTCCCATTCCAGCTTCCTGCTAACGCATACCCTGGGTGTCAGTGTACTGGCGTATGTACTTGGCTCCCTGCCATCCACGTGGGAGACCAGGATTGAGCTCCTGACTCTTGATTTTGGCACAGCCCAGGTCTGGTTGTTGCTGGCATTTGAGGAGTGAACCATCAAGTGTGGGATTCATTCATTCATTCTCTCCCTCTCCTTCTCCCCCTTCCCGCCATGTGTTTTTTTTTTTTTTTAATTAAAGAATTAGACTACACAAAGTACACTTATCTACAAGAAGGAACTCATTGTAGAAACAGCAGAGTGGTACTGACCTCAACCACAGGTATTGGGTGTTAAGCTTAACTCTGCCCATTACTAATTATGTGGCTTCATACAAGGTAACTTAATGTCTCTAGGTCTCAGTTGCTGTTGTTGTCACCATCATCATAGCTGCTGTTAAAGCAGAGGGAGAAGTCAAGGATGCTGGCTTTTTGTTCTTATGTTGTTTTAGAAAAAAAAACACTTTCTTCTCTGCTTCATGATTTTATGATAACACGAGAGGGTTGGGGTGGATTTTCTGAAGCAGTGTGCATGCCTGCACCGGCATGTCACAAATGGATTACACGCCTGGCTGTATATCGAGTCCCTCGGCCTTTGGGGCATTTTAACAAAGTGTGTGGTCACAGGACTACTTGCACTGGTCCCCTCTCATCTCCACAGCCTCATTCATTAACATCAGTGCTTCACGCAAAGAGAATTTTCAAGGAATAGAAGAATGTGGAAAAAAATTGGCAACTGCTACTCAAATGTTCTTGCCAGTTCTAACAGGCCAGCTTTTCCTCCTGGGAGCTATGCAACAGCAGGCAAATTACTTCACTTTCTGAGCTTTGATTTCCTCATTGAAGTAAAATATACTCAGAACTATTTATTGGCTTGAGTGAAATACGATTGAGGCATTGGAAAATGAAGACAAGTGAAAGTGTAGAGCTGCAGGACTGTTGCTTCTTTGGGGATTCTTTGACACTATGCGTGTGCAGAAGTTTTTGTCAGATCCAGTGTGGAGGAATGGAGATGCTGGCCATTAAGATTTGGGCATAGAGTTTGTGACAGGGAGATTTTTCACTCACTGAACTTTGGAGTGTGGATGGTGGAAAGTCACTGGAAGTTGTCCATGTTCCCTGAAGATAGCATAAGATGGCCCAGAGTCAGTGTATCATAGCAAAAGAACATGCCAGTCCCTGGCATGTTTATATTTTTTATTTATATTTTTAAAATTTATATTTTTAAAATAGATTTATATGTTTATATATTTATATTTTTAAATGCACAAAATCATGCATGTTTCATTTCATAAGTCAAGTCTGATTTCTTCATTGGCATGTGTTCACGTTTAGAATGTTTACTCCATTTAAGATCACTTACAAATTGGTTGTTGCTTCCATGTATTCTCACCCCATAGCTTATCAAGTTGTCAATAATTTGCAAGTCACTAAAGGATTAGAAGAGCTATAACAAAGTAAGTGATTTGGAGAATCTCTCATCCAATTACTCCACAAAAATACAAAGCAACTCTGCTGTTGTCCTACTGTGAGACATTCACTTTTATTCTGTTGCTGGAGATACGGAGTTTACTAAGATGGGGAAAAAAATGCCGCCCTCATAGATTTTACCTTTTAATGGGAAAGGAAATAAAATAGAGTCTATGAGGTTTGATAAGTTCATGGAGCAAGCCTGGGAGCAGAGAGGGAAGAAGCGTGTTTTGGATCGGACAGAGAACGTGTCTCAGAGGGAGTCATGCTTTATGGTCCTCAGCAAAGGAGCTGAGCAAGCCAAGCCACGTGACTCTGAATTTATTTATTAGATGTAATTAGCATGAGGTCCCTCTGTAGGGTAAGGTGGCCTTTCCATTCAATGAAGATCTCTGAGCACTGTAAGAAATTTTGGAAAAATGGAAGAATGCCCCCCACCCCAAAATCTAGTGAAAGAATATGATAAAAAATATTAGTTAATGGAGACTAGGTATGGCCTAACCCAAAGGATTGAGGTTTGATGACTTTGAGGGTTTTGTTGTAGGAAACTGAATTTAAGATTCATCAGTGTAATGTCAACTAGCCAAGCAGAGGATCATAATTCCAATCCAGCCAATTAGAAATGAAATGTTCTTTACCCTGTAGCGGGATTTGGGATAGAAAATGCTCATGACAAATACGCTGTACTTTAAAGTTTAGCATTTCCTGCACAATAGAAACAACTGGTGATGTATTATTACAAACTTGCCTGCTTAGATCAATAAAGCCACACAGCGAAGGTTTTAAAGATTTTGTTGGAGCCAGGAATTATTAGTCACCTGTTTTCCTTAGAACTGTTTGGTGCATGTTCCTCCTCTCTCTCTTAGTCTAGAGCCTGACGGGGAGGATTCTACAGCCTCAACTTGGGCGTGGATTTTCATTTATTTATTCTTAATGATTTTATTTTTCTGCAGCCTCATCATTTGTATTCCGTGGATTTGGGGGAAGGGTAGACCAAGGGCATGATGAGCAGGGTTGGGAAGGGTGCGGATGTTGTGAGAACTTGACATTTTGCTGCTTTCCAGACAGTGGAGCTGGTCCTTACCAGAATAATGTGGGAGACAATGGAAAACTCTTTTCTTACTAACGAATAGGACTCTTTCATTTTCACTCCAGCAAAAATATTCCCCTTGGAAATCTGTCCTCTTTAAATTGCAAACATTTCAGTGAAGGTCAAAGCCTGAACATGAAAATCTTGGATGGGACTAGAGAGGAACTTTCTCAAAATGTGAGTTCTCTTTGTCCCTTGAAGAGTGGCCCTGTGGACACTTGCTCTGAAGGTGCAAAAGCAGTGCTGAATAAAACTGCTGGCATCGTAGTTTGAAGAAACACAGTCACACCAAATGACAGCTGTCGTCATGTACTGGTCATTCACACTTGCCCTAGCCACACACACACTACACATTCTAGTCTCGCCCAAGACTGTCTTGAAGGCAATACCACATCTTAATTTTATGCCATCTTGAGCTTGAGTACGTGCCTTTTAAATATTGTTTTATTCATTGAAAAGTATACAGAATGCACATCTGAGGCCCCCAGAATACCTTGGTTATCTCAAAGAAAAATATGTCTGTGACAGACTTGCAAGCTGGACCACCTACTTTTCCCATGGAGCTCCATTTTTCTTGAACACACCACCAACAAATGAGTTATAGTTACTCGGACTTGAGTGTTTGGCAGACATTTTCTCAAAAAAAAAAAAAAAAAAGGAAGACAACCTCTATAATGAAAACAACTGATAGGGTTTGTTACTCGTGATTAAGTATAAGCTTTCAAACAAAAATTAGAACTTTGGAAAATGTGTATTCATCATCATGATCTTGAGAGCTTCCTAATATTTTTAAAGACTTTTCCGATGAGATTGGTGGTGATATTAACTAATGTGATATTTTGCTGCTCTATAATGAAAAATGTCAAAATGTGGAAGAGCTGCATAACTCAGTGATCCAATATTTTCCAGATGGTCAATGCATGATGTTACAAAATCATGCAGGGTAAAAAGATTCATTTAAAGTATGATATAGAACACTACATTTTAAAGTAACAGAGTACAAAAATCTAATTGATTGGGAAAATAACAGTATGAAATCTGAAGCCCTAAGAGAAAAATTACAATTATGACAACAGATTGAAAGTGGGAGTGAGTATGAGAAAGCAAGTCTTTTCTACTAAGCCAAAAATTTTAGTGATTTGCAAAAACTCAAAGCAGTGCTACCCTTACTAAGCTTTTTGGTTTGACAACATATATAATTATTATCACAAAAATTTGTTAGTAATGTTATATATAATGGGTTTATGATTGTTATCCTAAATACATTGTTTTCCCAGTTGTAATTCCTAAGGTGATGAATATCAATAGATACAAACCTCATGAACAACTATAGGGGGTGCAATCATTTTTAAGCTTATGAGGGAATCGAAGACTAAAACCAGTTTGAGAACTGTTCTAGTGCAAACTTCGTGACTTGACCGGTGGGTAACTGAGGCCGTAATGGAAGAGGTGAATAGCCTGTGGTGAGAGTTGGGATGATATCACCCTTGCAAACACCATTCCAGAATCTGGTCTTCCTACTATTCCATGCAGTAGCCATGACCACGTACATGAGAAGAGCTCATCAACCACTCTCAATGCAAAAAGTAGGGTGGTGCAGGCCAGCTGAGATAGGGCTTTCCTGCAGCCCGAGAGTGACAGGCCAGGTGACAGGGCTCCTGGTGCCCACCCCGGGTGGGGAGGGAGGAGATGGGGGCAGAAGTGGAAGAAGAGCACTAACCGCTACAGGCTTCCTGCAGCCCATCTGCAATACAATGAGCTTTCCCCTGTCTCTCGGGTTTTCCTCCAGGGAGTTTGCCCGCTGGAAGGTGAACAACCTGGCCCTGGAAAGGAAAGATTTCTTCAGTTTGCCACTGCCTCTAGCCCCAGAGTTTATCCGGAACATCCGCCTCCTGGGGAGGAGACCCAGCCTGCAGCAGGTCACTGAAAACCTGATCAAAAAGTACGGCACTCATTTCTTACTTTCTGCCACCCTTGGAGGTAAGCAGCATCCGGATCCCAAGCTAACTGGTCGCCAGATCATTGAAAATTGCTCTAAGAACCTGTGCCTACAGCTCCAACAGTCTCCCTGGGTCTTTTGTTCTTCCTGAACTGTTGCTTCCTGAGAAAGCGTTTCTTTCTAGTGTTTTTGAAACCAATGTAATCTCCAGACATCTAAATTCTCCCAAAATATTTCTATTTGCTTATGAGCATCCTCCCAGAGAGGGGTGTGGGGTAAGAAAGAGGGACAGACAGGGTCCTGCTAAGCACTTGCCAGCAGGGGGCACTGCCAGTTTTCTTTTGACCAAGCCATCAAACCCCTGATGATTCTCCACTTCCTAATATTTGCTGTGGCTGCACTTGTCAGACCCATAGACAAAGTCGGTGACCATTGAGTCTTGACCCTGTCTGCTCTCTCTAAAGAATGGCTACCAGCCACAACAATTCCAGTGATTAGGGGCTAGCGAAGCTCCCCCTCGTGGGAGTGAAGATGTTCTGGGACCCAGGGCCGAATCACAAGCTCTGAAGGAGCAGAGTATCTCTGTCCATGGAAGGAGACAGCAAGATTTAGTCCATCATTTAGCTTACTGTTGAAAAAAAAAGAAGCTGAACTCCACGAGTTCAGGCCAGGTGTCACCACGTGGTAGGTGGGGAGGGAGAGCCAGGGTTCAGGCTTTTGCCATTTCTTAGGGAGGAGATAGCGCAGTAGAAACTTCTCATAAGCAACTTGTGAGAGAGAACTGTGTGTCCCCAGTGGAGGTAGATTGCCTGAGCCAGAGATCAATGGAGGGTGTTGTATGGACAAGCTGGGCAGCAGTGGTGGGGTGGGGGGAGGTGGCAGGGCGTGACTTCAGGGGACTTACAGAACTAAGGAAGAGAAGGAGGGCCTCTCAGACAGAGAGGCCTGGTACCCAGGGGCATGTCTGAGAAGATTCCTATGTAGAGGGTAGGGGTCGGTGGGGCGGGGGCGTGGGGGGGGGCAGTGGGCTCTTCCTCTTAGATCTGTCTGCCCTGGCCGCTGATTTCAGGAGTCAAAGGCCTCACCAGTGAACCCATGTCATTTGCTATAGGAGAGGAGTCTCTGACCATCTTCGTGGACAAGCGGAAGCTGAGCAGAAAGACGGAGACAGCAGGAGGAGCCCCTGTAGCGGGGGGCAGTGGGAACAGTTCGGCTGTGTCCTTGGAGACCCTGCACCAGCTGGCAGCGTCCTACTTCATCGACAGAGAGAGCACCCTGCGACGGCTGCACCATATCCAGATAGCCACAGGGGCCATCAAGGTAATGCCCTAAGAGGTGTGGGGGTGGGGGCAGGCCAGAAACAACCAGCTCCGGGTCAGCCAGGCCTGATGGATCCAGGAGTTGAAGGAAGCTTTCTAATGGAGTCACAGGCAGTTGTCAGACGTGGTCGGGTCATTCCTTTTACAGCAAACGCCCCTGGAGCATGTACCCTGAAGCAGGCCCTAACCAAGGGGTTGTTGTAAAGGCCAATAAACTCTCTGCTCACCTAGAGGTTGCATTCTAGTGATGAAAATAAGTAGAAAACAAACAAAGTCATTTTAGTTCGTGGTATAAAGAAAAGATAGAGTTATAAGATCCTATTTGCTGGGACAAAGGAAATTAGCTAAGTGAGTAAGGGAAAGCACTTGGGGAGTTACATTGAGAGTAAGGTCTGGGCCGGCGCCGCGGCTCACTAGGCTAATCCTCCGCCTAGCGGCGCCGGCACACCGGGTTCTAGTCCCGGTCGGGGCGCCGGATTCTGTCCCGGTTGCCCCTCTTCCAGGCCAGCCCTCTGCTGTGGCCAGGGAGTGCAGTGGAGGATGGCCCAGGTGCTTGGGCCCTGCACCCCATGGGAGACCAGGAAAAGCACCTGGCTCCTGGCTCCTGCCATCGGATCAGCGCGGTGCGCCGGCCGCAGCGCGCCAGCCGCGGCGGCCATTGGAGGGTGAACCAACGGCAAAGGAAGACCTTTCTCTCTGTCTCTCTCTCTCACTGTCCACTCTGCCTGTCAAAAAAAAAAAAAAAAGAGAGAGTAAGGTCTGAATGATAAGAAATAAGGTTTGTGTAGAGTGGAGGGAAGAGTGTCCAGGCCAGGAGGACAGAAAGGGCTAAAACCCCGAGGAAGGAACTGGCTCATTGCCTTGTTGGGGACAAGAGCTCTGTGAGAGCAGGCAGGTGCAGAGGAGATTAGAAGGCATCGGGGCCGGGTCACACGGCATGATGAGAAAGTTTAATAGAAGTCAAAATGCGGTGGAGAACCACAAAGAACTTTAACAGAAAGGATGCCATGTATGTAGGAACACGCTCGATAGTTTTTGTGACTTTAATAACTGTCACCTTCATCATGCCATCTCTACTTCTGTAGAGCAGGTTTCTAGGGAAGTCCCTATATTAGGGAAGACTAGTGAAAATACGTGAGAACGCTCTTTGGTGTTTTGCATAGGAAGTACGAAGTTAAGAGAATGTATAGACATCCAAATTGTCATATAGCCTGCCATCCACAAGGAAATTTTGTTCACTTATTAGTTCATTTGATAAATGTGGATGAAGCACCTGTGTTGTGTTAGGCACAGTTCCAGGTCCTGAGAATACAAGAGTGAAGAAAACACATAAGGTCCCTTGAAGAAATTTGAATTCTAGTAGCAGAGACGTAATTCAACAATACATACTGTCAAGTGGTGATTAATAGTAAGACAGGAATGTGGACTTTAGGGGGGATCTGTCTGAAGGAATGTCTTTAAACAGGGACCTGAATGAAGTGAGGGAATAAGCCAAGGGGCATATTGAGAGAGAGTTCTGGACAGGGTTAGAAGCTTGTGCTTCTTAGTGAATGGTGCGTGTAGCTAGTGTAGCTAGTGTGGAGTCAAGAAAGGGGTGGAGAGGGAGAGGAGGCTGCAGACGTTGCTGATGAGGGCAGAAGAAAGGAGGATCCCAGAGGCAGGGCAGTAGGTCCAAGTGAGATGATATGGCAGCTTGGACAGAACTGAGGGAGTACAGATCCTGAGAAGTTGGCAGGTTCAGAACGTGTCTCAACAGCAGAGGCTGCCAGATTAGTTAGTGGCTTCAGAGATGGAAATCAAGATTAACTGCAAGGTGTTTGGGCAGAGCAACCAAATGAACAGTGATTTAATTTACTGAGAAGGCTGACACTGGGAGGAGATGCAGATCTGAGAAAAATAAATTGACTTTGGTTTTGGACATATGGAATTTGACATTTCTATTGGACATCCAAGGACAGATACCTAATAAATACTTCAGGATTTCAAGAGAAAGGTAATAGAGATAGATACATACACATATACACATGTGAAGTTAGTATTTAAGACCATGGGAAATGATAAAATGAGATAGATCACTCAATGAATGATTGTAATAAGTAAAGAGGTCATAGTGTTGGGTTGTGAAGTACCTCAATATTCAGAAATGGGGAAGAGGAGAAGGAGCCAACAAGAAGACAGACAAAGTCAAGAGCTATAAAGAAAACCAAAGCGGTACCACACAGGCATGTGAATGAATTGTTTCACAAAAGAAGAAAAAGGCAACTGTGTTAAGTGCTGTTGAGAAGTCACCAGGGTGAAGCTTGACAAGTGACCTTTGATTTGGTGACCTGGAGATAATTGCCAACATAGAGAAGTGTGGTTTCAGTGGCATGAAGAGAGACAGCAAACCAAGGAACCAGATATGAGTCCTAACAATGCTTTTACTGTAAAGACAACATGAGTGATCATGGAGAGTGATTTAGGGCCAGGGGAGGTGAGACGTCTCCTCTTGAGATGAGGATTATTCCAGCTTATTGGTATGTTGATTGAAATAATTTAGCAGAGAGGGAGCAGTGATGATGCAGACGAGCCAGGAGATAATTGCAGAAGAAAAATCACTGAGTGTGCAAAAATCCATGCTCAAGTGGAAGTGTTGGTCTTACGTGGGGGAATGAGCACGTCCTCCTTTGTAACAGGAGGCAGTGGAGCGCACACGTAGACAAATGCAGTAGAACAGATGTGGTGGTGAGAAGGTGCACTTCTCTTCTGAGTGATTATATTTCTTGTTGAAACAAGAAGCAACATCCTTGGCTAAAAGGAAAGAGTAGGAATTGTTGAGAGAAGAATGAATTAAATGGTCTTCTCAATGAGTACACATTAGGAATATCAAGTTACTAGATAAATGTATGGACTTCTGGGTGATATTGAGGGCCTGCTTGAGATGTGTGGTCAGAAAAATAATGAGATCGGGCAGGGCTGTTATGAGTTTTATCCACTACAGTCATTAGTTCATGTGCTGACAGGCATGGAATAGATAGTAGACTTTACAATGTGTGTGTGTGTGTGTGTGTGTGTGCGCGCGCGCCCGCTAGATGAAAAATAAAAGGGAATGAAGAGCACATACAAAGAAGTGATGATTGGAGTGATGAAACAAATCTGAATCAGGCAAGGAGAGGAAAGAAGCCTTTAAGGGATGAAAGAAAAAGTTGTTTATGTCCAAAGATTAGAAGTGGACGTAGGTTTGATGATTGCTCACTGGGAGAGACTAGAGGAAATGTGAGTGTGTAGTGCTTAATGTTGTGCTTACAGAGGGAATTCTGTTACCAGTAAAATCAGATTCATTGGCGTGGCCATGGGTGTGGATGGCTAGGATTGGGCTAGACATAAGAAGAGGCAACACAGGAATGAGATGAGAAGGCCAAGAAACTGAGAGGTCAGGATGTTAAAGGATAATCTCTGTGAACACGGAGATAATAGGAATGATGCAGGCCTAGTGGTCAGAAGAATGACGGTATATTTAATACTGAAAATCCTCAGGGAGGGAGGAGGAATAACAGAAGAAATAAACTGTAATAAGGAGAGTGAGTGAGTGTTACAGCCTGACAGTTAAAGAGGAAGGAGGAGCAGTGCTGAGGATATCACGGTGGAGGACCCACTTCGCTTCCAGGAGCGAAGTATGAGAAAGAAGCTAGCTACTACTAAAGAAGGCTGCAAGAAGACCAGTCAGGGTCTGCTAGGCTGTGGTTACACCAAGAAAACAAAATGGACTCTTGAGAAGTTGAGACTCTAGGAGATTTTGCTGAGGGCTGATCATGAGGTCTAGAGAATACAATGGAAGTTAACTCAAGAGAAGGCATCAGATTAGCAGAAGTATGAGTTGTGGCATAATTCTGAGAGCTGTAGGTGGATGACTTCCCATTAACATGAGTGTAAGGTGCATTTGGGAGTATTTCAGGAGTGTGAAATGAGACAAAGGAACTAAGAACTGTGTTTTGCCAAGAAGAACTCACTGGAAACCCCTATAACTGTTTCATTCCTGTAGTGGGTTGTGTCAAAGTTGTAGAAGACTTGGTCTTTCCAGGAAATAGAAGGTAGGCATTGGATTGGCAGTGCAAATGCCTCTTTAATATGCCTTCCTCTCCATGGACCTGACCAACTTTGCACTCCGTGTCTTCTCTTAATGGCCTTATTTACCTCATTGCCTCATCAGTTTCCTTGATCAGATGTTGCTGTCAGTCCCTTGCACGTGTCTTCAGCCTGCCTTTGCCTGCTCTTCAGGCCCACTGTCATTCCCTTATCCAGAACCTCCATCAACTCTTACCCGACTCTCTTTGACCAGGCTTTGAATCAGTCTTCCTATGTCCATTTTCAGCTCTTCTCCTTGATTTACCTCTGTACCTCTACCATGTGTGAGAATCATCACCATAGCATCTCCTACTTAAAATCTTTCAGTGATTCCAGACCATACCAGGACAGAGCCTGAGCCACTGTTCCCTAGCCAGGGTGAGAGTGTGATGCAATGGGAGGAAATGTGCACTCTAGCCTAAGAATCTGTGTTCCACCACTGCTCATGTTTGGGTTTTGAGCAAAGGGCCCAACTTCTCTGGGCCTGTTTACTCATCCTAAAATTGTGGAATAATGGGTCAGGTGATGTGGTACAGCATATTAAGCTGCCACTTAGGACCTCTCATCTCATCTCAGAGTGCGATTTGAATCCTGGTTACTCCATTTCCAATCCAGGTCCCTGCTAATGCACATGGGAAATAGTGGATAATGGCTCAAGTACTTGAGTCCCTGCACCCATGTCAAAGAGCAGGATGGAGTTCCTGGCTCCTGGCGTCAGCCTGGCCCACATCCCACTCTTCAGGCCATCTAGGGAGTGAACCAACATGTGAAAGATCTTTCTCCTGCCTTTCAATAAAGTAAATTAATAAATGTTTTAAAACAATTTTGATCAATTGGAACAATTTAAACATGGAAGAATTTCTATGAGGTATACAGGAAATGTACAGACGGCATAGC